AAAAAAATTTTTCCCAATAATTTTCACCCAAAAAAAAAAAAAAAAAAAAAAAAAAAAAACAACCTTGGCAGGCTGTGTTAAAATTAAATGAAAGTAGAAGCTGGGAGTGGCAAAGGAACAAAAACACACCCCTGATTTTTAAAAGGTGTTGAAAACGTTGATCTCTCAGCAGGAATTGCAGATGATTAACACCTTGTGAAAATGGGACTGTAACTGTAATGTCGCTTGCTGTGACTAAGAACTTTGTCAATTAAAAAGCATTCCTAGTTCAAGGTAACCAGGATTTATCCAGTCTAGTATTTTAAATGTTGCACATTAACATCTTGTGGAAGTAGTGTTTCTGTGTAGTCTTTTTGTGTTGCTTTTTTCTTCCGTACAAAGTATTTTTAAACACTCTAAAATGTCAGATGCTTTGCTTCATTTCTGCCTCCTTCCCCTCAAAGATGAAAAGAGAAAGACTCCAATATTCTTAATAGTGTGTATCTTTGAAGGTAAAAACTAAATTACTTGAAACTGATAACACTACTCCTCAAATTTAACTTAATTCTGAAAAGAAGTGCTGCTAAGGACATATTTCACTCAGGACAGCCCTTCTCTTGAAATCGTGTAGAACGTCATGACATTTTTACTAGAATATGTTCATTGTGCTTGAAATGTGATATCCTCTTGCCAGTTTTGTCTGAAACATTCAGGTTATAACTTTCTTTTTCCTACTCTTTTCAGAGTAATTCTGCAGTCCAGTGTTCAGAAAACTAAAACCTCTGAACGTAATATTTCTGACAGTACAGACATTACTAAAAGAACTACCAGGTCTGCTACAAGAAAAAGCAGTTTAAAAAGGTGAGAGTTATTCTCTTTAAAGCTCCAGACCATTGTTCTCAAGTAAAGCTTTTTTACCTGGCTTGTCTATTGCTGATAATGGACTTCTGCCTTGGGGGTCCTAGTGAAAAGAATGTAACTGAAATGTACTTTGGCCATGGACAGATGTTACATTTATAGTGCTACCAATGCCTTTGTGGAACTACAAAAGTCTAGGACAGTGTTTCTCAGTGGGTCACAAGAATATATGAAAGGGTTGGGAACAAACTTAAAAAATGGATTTTCCTTTAAAGGGAAAAAAAAATTGGGAAACTGTGGCTTTTCTCTTGCAGGCTGGCAGAGTTCCAGCCTTCCAGGGGTTGCTTGGGGGCCCCCCATATCCTCCACACACACACACCCCCATCTCCTGCCCCACACACTGTGGGGTTTGGGGCAGGAGGCAACAGGCTGGGAGTGCAGGACACTAGGTTAGGACTGGCCATTGATGTTTACAAATGGGTCCTGATACAAAAAAAGGTTGAGAACCACTGGTCTAGGAGATAGATGTGCACACCCCTGCAGCACTTTGAAAATGGCAAAAATACCACAAGAATATATCTGGCAACTTCCCTGTAAAGCTACAAAATGTGGCATTACTTATAATGTCTGTACAGTGCACCATAATGCTACAGGGGGTCTCGCCATCCCTCAGTGCTCTGCTCTCCTTCTTCCCTCACCTTGCAAGTTTGGGGGGAATGGGGAGGGAGACCAGGCACTGGTACTGTCACCCAGACACTGAGAAATTGCCTGCTTCTCTCCCTGCTCCAGATATTGGTTTGGCCTGTTGTAAAACAGGTCCTTTCCTTATCCCTTACGAAGCCATCAGAAGCTGGTGGGGGCTCAGTGGGCTCTGCAGGAGCCATGGAGGGCTGACGAGCGACAGAATTGAGCCTACAATCTTGAGCCAGCATCTCCTGGTTCAGTTTGGTGGGAAGGGAGGGGTGGACTTGGGATCAGGCCCATAGTCTTTGGGGCTGGTACAAACCACTGGGGGGTAGCCTGGGTCAGGAGGAGCTGCCCAGGGGAGCTGCAGTGAAGCAGACAAAGGTGGTGGGGGTTAGGAGAGGTGGCCTAAGTTAGAACTGGAGTGAAAGGCAAGGCAGGGCAATGACACAAGGGTTTTTTTAATTTCTTACCTAGTTTTCATTTTTTTTTTTCTTCCTTGAGTATTAAGTCTTTGCCTGCCCAGAAGGGACTGCTAAGATCACTGTCCTGTAATTTAGCTAACAGGAAGAGCAGGTAGGTTGTCAGTGATCAGACCTGGTGGGGGGAGGGCGAGCAGAGCTGTGCAAGCCCCTATTGCAGAGGTTTAGCAAACACATTGAGTGCTTGGGGTAGGGGTGGCATGTGAACCCTGGGGCCCCATTCATCCCCCTGTCCCCAGATGTGATGTGTCTGCTCTGAGAGAAATCCCTGGGGGGCAGGACTTGATACCCCCCAGATGCAGTGCTGGGTGCAAGGCTGCTTTTGCTGTAGTAAAGACTCTTGGGGAGACATTTTGGTGCCCCCTCATAATCAGTGCCAGGGGCTGGTTCACTGTTCACCCCACCATAGTTACACTACTGCTATCCTGAATGCCTTTCAAGTGCTTTCCTGATGCTCCACGCGGGTGGTGGGAAGGCTCAGCACCTGTGTCCCTGCCTACAGAGTGTTTCCAAGTGCTGCTACATTTGTAGCACTATGAATATAATGTTTATCCATGACCAGCATCACCTATTGAGAACATCTGGAGCTTTGAATCTCTTGTCATGCTTTTTACAGTGCTGAATGAATTTTGAAAGTTGGAACAGTTGTGTTGTGGTTCTTCACATATGATTAAGGACTGCTGAGTTTAAGGGTTTTAGCTCCTGGAGCAAAATGCTAGTAGGCACTGAAGAAACCCTTCAAGAAATTCCTTGTCTTGAATGAAATGAAGGAACCCACAGTATTGAGGGAAAGCAGTATATAGTATTATGTATGGAGAAGGGATTCCTTCTTTAATGTAGGCAATATATACATGTATGTGGCATTAGCATGAGATTTTTGTAAGGAGATAAGCATTCAAAGTCTGAACATGAGTCTGCTTTACAAGATTCCTGAGGGGTCTGAATAAATGCAAAAATGCCTTTTTTGTTGAATAAGCATATGGGTGAAATGCTTATTTGCTTGACTGCTGTTGCTCTAGTTCTTGGCTCCACGCATGTCTAAAGTCACTCCTGCAAACATAGACCAGACCTCACAGGTTTTACTGGAAATGAACCTGTGTGTGTGTATGTTAAACGATCATTGGAGGACTTAACCCATTAACATTTCCTTTCTGTGCTGTCTCACTTTCACATTCATGGACATCTGCACGCTGCAAAAGCGGGATGTTAAATTTTTCCTTTTGTTGGGAGTGAAACTCTCCAGAGTTTACAGTTTAGCTTGAACACACCTGAACTAAACAAGTTTTTATATGTATGGCTTTAATGGCATGTAGTAGTTCTCAAGCAATTTGATGGTTGGACGTAAGAAGTTTTCCTTGTGATTGTTGTGGAATCACTCTAAAGGGTTTGTTATAAATGCTGAAAGAACACCCTTCTTTTGTTGGGAGGAGTGAGAGGAGGTGGATTATCTATCTGACTAGCAATCCTTGGCTAGGACAGAGGTGTCAAGGTCAGCAGGCCCCCCAGGCCAGATACAAACCTTGAAACCTGGAAGTGTTGAGATAAGGGTTTTAATGTCCACTTTCCCCCATCTCCCTCCTGCTGACATGTTCCCCAACAGGACTCTGTAGCTGGGAATGCAGAGGTAGCCCTGTCCCTGCTCTTTCTGGGCCCTCTAGGAGCCCCAGTAGACTGGGTGAAATAGCTTCACAAGTTGAATCCAGCCTGCAGACTGCATCTTTGACACCCCTGACATGGGACATATGGATTGGTGACTATTTGCATAAATCCAAACTTTACCTGTTGTGTTACACAGAGAGAGTTTATTTCTCTCCTCCTTCTGCTTGCCTTATTAAAAGGTGATGCAAGCTATCCATATCTATAGCTTGCATATATCTATGCCTATATCGATAGATATATAGTTTGCATCACTCATAGTGTGTCTATATAATATATGCACAAATTTGTGTGTGTGTGTGTACACACGTGCACAAACTTGCATAAAGAGTGTGTGTGTATGTACATGCAGTATATTTGTGTATATATACACAGTGAATGTTGAGGGATTGTCCTTGGTGAATATGAAGGTATACAAAGTGAGTGTGTGTGTGTGTGTTAAAAACATCCTTTATGTATATTGCATAAATGACCTTTTGATAAATAATGACCAGCAGCTATAAGATGAAATGCAACCATTTTGTAAAACACTAAATCTGTTCTGAGTGTGTCTTCTGATGGTACTGACAAGAACAGCGCATATTTTGGTCCACCCTGAGTTTTCTAGTTCTGACTGTGCTATGTACTACTTAAGCCTCTGCTGGTTTATTTTCCTTTGTTCTCTAGCTAGTTTTCTGCTAAATTATCTCCTTTTCAGTCTACTTCCTTTTCTCTCACTTTTTATAACGAAAAGGTCCTTCTCATGATTTATTGTGTGAAGAATTTTCCCATACTTGATGAAATTCTTCAGGCATGATGCCAAATTTGTGACCGACTTGAATGCTTACTGATGGACTCCTTGGCTCATAAATAGCGTTGAACTCTGCAGAATATTTGTGACTCAGTTTTCTGGTACTGCTCAAACTTCTATCTAGGTCTTTAACTTCAGACCATAATCAAATAGTGTTCCTCATGCTTCACTTGGAGACTATCTTGGTCTAGCATCTAACTGGCTGGCTGTCCAGTTATCGTCCTTTTCAGTTCCTTCTGAGTAAATACGCTCTTCTGGAGGGGTTTTTATTTCCTTGTGACAGATGAGAAGAAAAGAAAAAGTCATTCTAAGAATTTAGCGTATGAAGATCAGATCTAGCCATTGAAAATGTTGCAGAACAAAATGGTGGTCTCCACCAGTAGCATATTGTGGAATTCTTAAATACTTTTTTCCATCTGAAGAGGTTGCTGAGCTGCAGCCAGTTTTAAATAGCATGTGACTAAATTCCTAGTCTTGTGGGCATTTTACAAAATGACCTTCCTTATCACATGGATGTGTTCTTATTTAACTATAGCCTTTGGCAAAATCCTGCATAGAGCCAGTTTTTGTCGCGCACTGAGGTAATGATTGCAGGGCTCAATCTGGTGAAAGAAAGTGGATGACATAATGGAGCTTCTTTAGTCTCATTAGAAAAACAAAAGCAAAAATACTAGCTCTTCCATCTTTTTCTGCTTGAACTTTTTATTCAGTTTTGTATTTTTTTTTTTAATTGCTTTGCCCCAAACTGAATGCTTTTATTATGGTTCATGTCTGAAGATGGTGTAGAAAAGAGTAGACCTGATTTATCCTAACTGTGTATTATTGCACTTAATCTAACCCAGCGTTTCTAAGACTGCATTAGTTTTTCCAGGTAATTTTTTTCACCCCTATCTGTTGTTGCTGAACCTGGATTCTCCCATTTTGTCTCTTGTTCTTTATTTTTCCCATAAACATTTATTTTGGGGTAATTTATTGGATCTCATTTTGTTTATAGACACTACAACTGATTTCATTCTTGATGTAGCTGAATCTCATTATTCTCGAATTTGTGATCCTTTTTAACATTATCGTCCACAATTTGAGTAGCATATTTGCTCCAGTGGCTTTCAAACTGTTAAGGAAACTATTTAATAATGGCTTCTAAATGACTTGCTTCCCAATAAAATATAGTCATTTATGACTATACTGAATTTTCATCAGGTTTTCAGATTTACAGTCTCATCCCCTTTTCCATTCACAGCATTCATTGCTTTTCCTTTAGGAGCCAATCTATACCATGTGGCAAATTCCCAGGACATACCTGCCCGGTACCAGTTTTAACACATCTCTTATCTGTTGTATGGATGGATCAGCATGATGATTGGATTGGAAGGGATTCATAGCCTAAGGCATGATCTTGTCCTGTGACCCCAGTCTGAGTCATTTAACTTATCGACACTTTGTTTCTCCCATCTAAGATTTGCCTGGTGTAGCCTGACCCTTAAATTGTGGACCATCCTTAAGTTTTCACTGTTGAATTACTCGTAGAAGATGCAATTTTGTGACTTAGCCATCCTAAAAAGTAAAAACAAATCCAAAAATCTTCTGTAATGCTTGCCATATTTTTTATTCATTCGTCTGAAAGCACTTAAGTACAAAAGTGTCAGCATCTTCACTACAGAGATGGGAAAGAGAAGAGACAGCAATTTAGTTTCTGAGCCAGAAAAAAGACCCAGGTTTCCTGACCTCCTGGTATCCTTTCCAGTAAATGTCAGAATAACTCAAAACGCAGCAGCCGAACTATAACTACGTAACAAAACAAAAAAAAATCCTCCCTGCAGAAGAATAGAAATCTGTTGTTGCACTCATTAACAGCATTTGAGCTGTATGTGTTTAGTAAGGAGTTTGTTCTCCTTCCCTAGTCAGTAAAAGGGATAAAATGGTTTCCAGTGAGTTTTGAAGGGTTAAGGACTTCAGTGTAATTCCGGTGCTGGAATCATTATAGAAAGGAAGAAATAGTCGCTAGAGAAAGATATGTAACCATTATTTCGTAGGTGTCTCGGCATTTTTCTAACCAGAGCAGCATGTCATGAAAATAAACAGAAGCACGCTTTAATAACCCAGTATGCTTTCACCATTTCTGCTCCCCTGTTAAGTTGGAAACTGCTTGTGCACTGAGTTTGCCTATATGTAATCTAAATTTAGCTTTAGAAAAATAATATTTCTTTAACATTCTCTCTACTTTTCCTACAGTCTCATACCTCAGAAGGAGAGAAGGAAAACGCAAATGTGCTTAATGAAATTATGGTACTTTGCATCCTGTGCTGCTTTTCTGTACACAGTTGAACCTCTTTTCTACACGTTATAATCAGACCAGTGTGATTTCTTTATAATTGATACTGCATTGTCTCTGAATGTATCCAAGTCTTTACAGTTTTTTTTTTTCTTTGAAATGTGCTTTGCTTAATTTACATGGGCAGAAATGTTTGTTTGAAATATTTCTGTGCTTGCTTTGGTTTTTGGAGTGCACATTTTGATTTTGATTTTTTAAACATGTTTTTATCATTTCAGCAGTCATTCCATCCCAAGGACTAGGACAGTGTTGCGTTAAATTAAAAATAAGCAACTAGAGCTGAAGAGGACATGGAGGAGGAAAAAAGGGATATCGCTATGGGACTTGATGCAGTTTAGGAAGAAGATGCTTTGGCTTTGTTTTGCAGTAAAAATTTAGCAGAAAGCTCCTTATTTGTGGAAGAAACGGACTGGTAGAAAGCTGAGCTATCTAATCAAGCTTTTTAATTCTAAACATTTACTCAAATGTTTTAAAATATAATTGTAAATTTAGACTCAGGTGTAAATATTTAAGTTCTCTATTATAAAGAGAGCCTGCTAGTCCATATGATGCATGTGTATAAATTGTGATGGCAATCACTTAGCTGCTGGCCACCATAAAAAGTGAAGACATGGTGAGGCTTTTAAATATTTAATTCACTGTTGTCCATCCAAGTCAGCCTAGAGTCTCCAGTTAGAGACTAAGCTTGGAAAGGTAGTCTTTTATTCTCATAACAAGGTACTCTCGTGTTGATTGGCTCTCCTTTCTTATTTTGTATGGATTTTTTGATGAAGCTGCAATTGTAAGTACACAGACTAATTACTGTCCACCAAAGAGTGCTTTATTTCCAAGGATTTCTTTTTTAAAGAACCTAATTAAAAGCTAATGCTATTTAAGCAGTTAATAGCTTTTAAGTTGCTCAGAATGCAGTGGCTCTTTTAACTGGTAGTATTTGCTTGAATCGGGTATATTTCCTACCAGAGTTTAATATAAAGAAGTACCATCAATGTTTAAAACCACACTGCGGCCTGAATTATTTTACCTACTAGTGCTGTATATAACACTTAAAAGAATAACATACCTGAAAGATGAGAGAATTTTTCTTACATCTTTGCGTATTCGACCATACTTTCTGGTCATTGTCACTAATTCCCTGGTTTAGTCATTTTCTTTCATGCAATAATGGTGGGGGCTGGAGAGAGAGAGAAAGAGACTTAAAATAGGAATATGTATTTATAAAGCCACTGAAATGAGCAGTGGGACTCAGGGGCAGGTGTAATTAGAAATGTTAGTTTGAGGTTACAGTGTTTTTTAAAACATCCACATATATATTTTTTAAAAGAAATGCTAGATATTTAATTATCTATTTAGTGCCATGGTAACTTTTTTTAAAGGGAATCTGTCTAGGGTTTGAAATATCATTTCTTTCTTTTACAATACTATTTTTTTCCAAAACTTGAAGACTTTTTTTATTTTCTTCACCACCTTTGTCCTGTTAGATTTGACAGCTATTTTTTTCCGCTGTATCCTCGTCTGCCAGCTTCACATTTGACACCCACACAACCCTCAGAATAGATCTGCCTGCTGCATAGTCAGGAGTAAAAGAACACACTTGTTTATTGTTTTTTTTGTAAGTGTGTTGTGGGGAGGTTTGAATTATTAGTCAGTGACAGACCTTTGTTTTAATTGAATGAATATGTATTGATTTTGAGAGGGACAGAAGGTTCCTTTTGTATTGTAAGCAGGTGAAATTCAAGTGCCTAGTTTTGAATGAATCTCCCTTTTTTAATTTAAAATAAAAAAGATACCTAATGGCAATTTGAGGGTGTTACCTGCATTCCAACAAACAACTGTATGGCGGCTTGAATAAAATTGGGTGGGAAAGGCTACAGACTGTTAGCCCAGAATACAGTAATTTTTAGTTGCAAGAAATACCTCCCAAGTACTTGACCTTTAAATTTGTTCATTTGAATACAAAGCAAATAAAAGAGCAAAAAAGTTTGAAATGTAGAGAGTAAAATAATGAAGCTTGGAGGAAAAAAAAGGAGGGTGCTGGAGAAAACCCTTTAACTCTCTTTAAATTATCTGGCCTCCCTCCTGTGCTTTGTACAGCACTGTCCCCAGAGAAGTGGCAGTATATCCTATTTTATATTATATTTCAAACTTAATTGGCAATGCGGGGCTGAGGCACACTTACTCCCTGGGAAAATAGAGCCTTACTAACTTTTTGAGGGAAGGCATGGGAAGAAAGAGAATAAGTCCACTAGGGTTTTAAACCAAAGGGGTCTACTAGCAAAGAGAAATGTTTGCTTTTATTTTAGGAATACTTAGTCATTGTCCCCCATTCAGGCGATCGTGGGTGTCTAAACTGTGATTTAGTATGTAAGTGACTTGCAGAAAAAATACATATACATGCTCCTGAATTGAAAGTGACGTCTTTGAGTTATGCCCTGCAATTTTTAAACGAAAGCACTTGTTGCGGGCCTCCTTCCATGAGAGAAGGAAGAGCAGCTCCCCCAAACCTCTCTATCTGACCTGCAGGTAGGCATCAATCACCCAATAGCAGTTCAGTCAAAGAAGAGTCATAGAAAAGTAGGGCTGGGAGGGATCTCAGTAGATCATCCTGTCTAGCCACCTGCTCAAGGCAGGTCATCCCTGTTGAAACTATCCAGTGCAAGTGCTTTTCTTACTTATTCCTAAAACTACACAATTGACTACAATGTATGTTGCCCAAAGACACCCCAACCTGCCAAGTCAAGCAAAGGAACAATGGGAGTCAGTGTCCCACAGCTGCAAGGGCTGTTAAAATGCACTTGAGAGATGAGGAAGAGGACCATGTCCCCTGCTAGAAGGCAAAAATCATCAGTCTGTACCAGTCTGACCATGGTGTAAAATTCCTTCCTGCTCCCAAATGTAATAGATCAGACTATGACCTGGAAGGGCAAGACCCTTCACAGGAACCTTTGGCTTTAAGTCCCAGTTGGAGCATTTAGCACACTCGAGTCAAAATCCCAAGCCTTGACTAGCCAATACCTAGTGTAAACACAGGAAACGCAGCTAAAATGTGATTCTCTGCCATATGCAACTACAGCCACTTGAGTGTTGCTTGTCAGCTAACATATTAGCAAGACGGGCAGTAGGTGCAGCCACAAATGAGAACATGTACTGAAAAGTAAAGGCCTTGCTTCAGTGACCTCACAATTTAAATTTGAGTGACTTTAATAGGTGGATGAAACAAATCAAAAGTGTGAAAACATGGGAGAATGCGATGGGACTAAATTAGAATTTGTAGGATTTGGGAGTGAACTATAAAGTCTTTGGCTTGCCACCTGCCTAGCCATTTCTTTGCTTTTTAGGTATTTTAATCTTTTATGTACACGTTTATGGTCATCGTCATAATGACCATAGTTTTTTTTCTGCTTTGGGGTTAGGGAGTGAAGTAGAAATGGTGTCTCCTTTTTATACTTGTTGTTGGCAAATACTGGATACAGAACAAAAGATCAAGCAAATCACTTGGATTACATCCGAGCCCCAGGATAATGCTTTTTAATAGGTGTAGGTTAGTTACATGTTAGCAAAAAACAAGTTGTATATCTGTTTTACCTGCAAGTAGTCAAGCTTTTTTGTTCTGAAGAATCCCACTAAATAAAATTTCAACAAATTTTATAATTGGATTTTTTTAAACAAAATTGAGCGCTTTCAACATTTTTTTTTTTTTTAAACATCAAAAATGTATTTGACTGAAAAATCGTCAGTCACAAATGCTTGTTGCATACAGTGAAAGTAAATGAAGTTTTGCATTTTTGTTAATATGTATGTTTTAGGTTTCCATCTTTTTCCATCTCTCTACATCTTACTGTTACGGAGAAACATGAGAGTGCCACTGGCGCTTTGCATTTGCACACTCAAACCAGCCTTATTATATAATGACTATGTCATATCCCATTTATTTGTAATATTTAGTTTGTACTTGGTTTGATATTTGGCCTTACATTTGCACCATACATGCCAAAGTTGTCTTAGCATATGACTCTAAAAGATGGGGATGGATAAAGGAGTCTTTTGTTTCCAAAGGGCCATTGACTTGTGAAATAGTGTGCCAAATGAAATGTACATATAGAATGGATGCATCGGAGATTTTAAAAGAAGTATAACTGCTAAGTAGGTTATTCCTCCTATTATGGAGTTGTACTGAATTAGTGTTCTCTTCTTGCTTTTCTTGTTTGTGGGTTTTTAAGGGGTTTTTATTCCCCAAGATTGAGAAATCCAAGAAGAATTATACTAAAAGCATATAGTAAATACTTTGTGTTTATAGACCAAGTTGATTTGTATTACAGTATCAGTGATACATACTGAATTTGCTGTCAGATCTTGACCTGATGCCCTGACTATAATATGGAAGTGCTGCTGTTTTTAAAGTGAGATGAAAAATATAAAGCTCTGATTTGTATGAAGAGATGGACATTCTGAATGGAAGAACGCTTGTCAAGAGTTACGTTCACCAAATTGTTGTACTTCAATTTTATATTAATAGTTTTCAAGACTTCTTTGTTGGTCTTGTGTGTAAACTCATGTACAGAATACCAGGTTTTGAAAGTTACTGACTGATCAATACTGCTCATCCTGATTTTTTTTTT